TTACTTCAGTTAACATATCTTGCAGTTCCATCCAAGTTCCAGAAAATTGCATAAGTTTATTCTTTCCAGCTGCATAGTATTCCTGTGTCTGTCTGTCTGTCTGTCTGTCTGTCTGTGTATGTGTGTACCACATCTTCATGATCAGGTAACTGTCATTGGACACTGTAGTTGATTCCTATCTTAGCTATTATACTAAATGCTGCAATGAATAATGGTGCCATATGTCCTTTTAGTGAATGATTTTGTGTCCTGAGGGTAGATACTTAGAAGTGAAATTACTGAGTCATATGGCAGCTAAAGTCTTAGTTTACTGAGAAATCTCCATTCTGTTTTCCATACGAGTTGAACTGGACAGTATTCCCATCAGCGGTATATGACAGTTGCTTTTACCCCACATCTCTGCCAACAAAAATTGTTCAGAGTGGGGGCTGGAGCGATAGCACAGCGGGTAGGGCATTTGCCTTGCACGCAGCCAACATGGCCGACTCAGGTTCGATTCCCAGCATCCCATATGGTCCCCCGAGCACCACCAGGACTAATTCCTGAGTGCATGAGCCCGGAGTAACCCCTGAGCATCGCCGGGTGTAACCCAAAAAGAAAAAAAAAATTGTTCAGAGTATTTTTGATATGTGCCATTCTTATGGTACTGTGAGATAATATCAGATTGTGGCCTTGATTTGTTTTTCAATACTGTTAACTACTGGAGCATATTTTCATGTGCCTGTTTACCATTAATCTATCTCTGTCAGTGAGCACCTGTTATTCCTCTCCTGTTTTTTCACAGGGCTTGGGGATGCTTGGTGTTGTTGATCTTTCTGAGTACTTTACATCTCCTGGATATCAGTCTTACGTCTGGTGTTTGAGTATGAATGTTCTCTCCCATTCACTTAGAGTTTTTTGAGTTTTAGCTCACGTTTCTTCTGTCACACAGAAACTGCTTAATGTGGTCCTATGTTTTTAGTTTTTATTCTGTTGCCTTTGCCAATAGCATTATCTCATTGAACATAACGCTGAGGTCTAAATCTTAGGGCCTTCTGCCTATATTTTTCTCAGTGTATTTTATAGATTTCAGTCAGATCTCAAGGCTTTTGGTCACTCTGAACTGACTTTTGTGTAAGGTGTGAGCTATGGATCCAGCTTTAATTTTTTTACATGTGGTTATTTAGTTTTCTCAGAACCAATTGGTTGAAGCACTGCATTTACGCCATTTCACGTTCTCAGCTCTTTTGTCATGAATTAGCTGCCCATATACCTGGAGATTTGTCCTTGGAAATTCCATTTTGACCCATTGGTCAGAGAATCTATTCTTATTCTAGTATCATGCTGTTTTGGTGACTTTGGCTTTATAGGATAGTTTCAAATTAGGTAATGAGACACCTCCCAATATCTTACTTTTCTGTGTGGCTTTGGCTGTTTGGGGTCTTTTATGATTCTATACAAATTTTGTTACTATATTAATTTTTTTAATTTTTTAAAATTTTGCCCCATCCATTCTATTTTATTTTATTTATTTTTTGTGATTTTTTTCTTTTGGGGTCACACTTGGTGATACCAGGGGTTACTCCTGGCTCATGCACTCAGGAATCACTCCTGATGATGCTCTGGGAACCATATGGGATACTGAGAATCGAACCTGGGTCAGTCGCATGCAAGGCAAACACCCTACCCGCTGCGCTATCATTCCAGCCTCATTGTTACTATTTTAAATCCTTAAGGTATGTTATCAGAGTTTGAATATAGATTGCATTAAATTTACAATATTTAGTATAGTATTTTAAATAGGATGGTCATTTTCACAATGTTAATTCTTCTATGTATATGAAATATTTTTCCAGTTCCTATTGTCTTCCATCTCTTTAAGTTAGGGTTTTCACAGTATTGAAGTCTCACCTCTTGTTCAGTTGATTTCTAGGAACTTGTTTTTCGACCCTATTTTGGATGAGACAGACTCTTAGATCTCATTCTCCTCTGATTCATTATTTGTGTATAGAAATGTGACCCATATTTTTGTGCATTGACTTTGTATCCAACTGCTTTACTGTATTGGTTTATTTCTAGGAGCTTTTTTGTGTGTGTATTCTTTAGGGTAGTCTTCTATGTTTATTGTCATGTCATATGCAAGTAGCAATAATTTGACTTATTCTTTCCAATTTGAATTACTTTACTTTCTTTTTCTTGCCTGATTGCTATTGCAAGGACTTCTAACATAATATTGAGTAAAAGTGGAGATGGTAAACATCCTTGCATTGTACCTGATGTCATCAGGAATGCTTGCAGTGTTTCACCATTAAAAATGATACTCTTCTGTGGACTAGTTAGGGGTAGCAGTTACTATCTTGAGAAAGATTTCCTCCACCTCTATTTTTAATTGACGGATTTTTTTTTATCACTAATGGGTGTGGAATCTTATCAAAATCTTTCCCTGCCTAAGATTTTTATCTTTTCTCTTACTGATGTGGAGTAATATGTTACTTTATTTATATATGTTGAATCATCCATGAATCCCTGGTATGAATCGCACTTGCTCATGGTGTATGATTTCTGAGATGTACTGTTGATTTTGGTTTGCTTAGATTTTGTTGAGAGTTTTAGTGTCGATGTTCATCAGGAATATTGGTCCAAATATTTTTTTCCAGTGTCTATATCTGCTTTGGATATTAGTGTAATGTTAGCGTCATAGAAGGTCTTAGGGAGGACTCCTATTTTGTCAAAATTTCATAAGCGTTTAAGGAATGTTTGATAGAACTCACCAATAAACCAATTACTTACTTAATTACTGTTTTGATTTCCTTGTGATTGGTCAATTCAGGCTTTCTACTTCTTCCTTATTTTATTTTGGAAGCTTACTTGATTTTAAGATTATGTACTTTTCTTCTAGATTCTCCATCTTAACATTGTAAAATTGTTCATAGTAACCTCTTTTAATATATTAAATTTCTTAGAGGTCTGTTGTAATCTCTCCTCTTTCATATTTGATCACATTTATTTGGATATTTCCACTGTTTTTTCCCCTTAATGAATCTAGTTAATGATTTGTCTATCTTGTCTACTCTTTCAAACATCCAGCTCCTGGTTCCAGTGATTCTTTGTATCTTGGTTTCTATGTATTTATTATTATTTATTTTTGCTTTAGTTTTTATTATTACCTTCCTTCTATTTTTTAGTTCATTTGTTGTTCCTTCTTTAGATTTTTGAGATGTGTGTTTAGATTGTTGGTTTGGAGTTTTTTTTCTTCTTTCTTAATGTAAGCCTACATTGCTATAGGTTTCTCCATTAGTACAGATTATGCAATATCCCAGAGATTCTGTTAGCTTGTACCTTCATTCTCATTAGTTTTAAGAAATCTTTTTATTACTTGCTTGATTTCCTCTTGGTCCAGCTGTTACTTAACTATGATTTATTCAGCTTCCAAGTGTTGGAAGTTTTCTCTGTCTTCTTTTTGTGTTTAATTTCCACTTAGATGGCATTGAGGTTTGACGTAGTACTTTGTATAATTTCTGTGCTTGTAAATTTATGTGTGTTTGAACTTTACCATAGAACATGTACTCTTATTTTTGGGGGGGAGGGGGAGGGGGCGGGGTGGAGCGTCCTGCATCTGTCCATTCCAGTTCTTCTAGCTCCTCGTTTAGAGCTCTTGTATCTTTACTGATTGTCTGTCTGGGCAATTCGTCTAATGGCCAAAGTGCAGTATTGAGGTCTCTCACTATTATTATGTTTCTTCAGTGTGTATTGTTAAGTGTGTGAGCAGAATATTTGTGAACTTTACTGACCTTTCATTTGGTACATAACTGTTGATGAATTGTTACTTCTTAGTCTATTGCTCCCTTATTCAATTAATAGTTCCCATCTCTGTCTCTAGTTATTGTCTTTAGGTTGAATGCTATCTGGTCTAAGTTTGACTGTCCCAGATTTTTTCTGTCTACTATTCACTTGAGTGATTGTTTTCTATCCTTCCATTCTGAGCTCGTATTTATCCTGTGAGTTTATATATATTTCCTGTAAGCAACAGATAGATGGACTTTTTTTCCTTATTCATCCAGATTTTCTATGCCTTTGGTAGCAGACTTAGGTCCATTAACATTTAGAGAGATTGATATAAAGGACTGTGTGGCCATTTTGTGTCTGTTTGGGGCGGGGGGCAGTTATTTTTGCAAATGGCCATTTGCTTTTTATAATGCTTCCATCATTTAACTTTTTGTGTTTGTGGACAGGGGCGGAGAGGCCTTGGTTCTTGGCCTTTCAGTAATTCTTGCAGGATTGGTTTAGTTGTTGCAAGCATTGTCAGCTCTTTGATACTCTTATTTTTTGTAGCCTCCTTTACTGTCCTTCACATGTGGCGCCTGTTCCTTGCAGAGGGGAGACACAGCCTTCCAACGAAGGACATAATTAATCTTCATCCTCACTGACGATGCGATCTCAGAATGACTACATAAGCTCATTGTATTTCCTATTCCCAATATGTTTAACGGAAGTTCATAATAGTATCCACCTCATGTGGATAAAAATTTGAAGCAAGATTATATGACTCTGGTTATTATGTCTAGTAATACTCCAACACTTAGTGACTCTTGGGTTCAAATTTAGGGACTTTCACCTACTAGTTATATTTTAAGGAGCATCACTAAACTTTTGTACCTCCATTCTTCTTTTATAAAATGAGGACCAGAAAATGTTTCAATCTCATAGCATTGTTAGAAGAATTCAGCCAAATTTGTCTAGGACATTTAAAATTTTGCTCAATACATGGGAGCTACCTAGTAAGTGTTGGCTGTTATTATGCTCATTATCATGCTTTTGTTACTTCTGTGAACATATGGTATGATGGGATTTATTATAGTGTCATCTTAGCACAAATAACAGTTTCAGTCTAGCCTATTAGCAAAGCATTATCACACATCTTCTGCAAATACTTCATGTAGCATTGTTGATTTTGACCTTCCCTTTGACAAGAGTCTGTGGTCCTTGTCTTCCATCATTTAACTTTTTCTGTTTGTGGACAGGGGCGGAGAGGCCTTGGTTCTGTTTTTGTCTGGGCATCTGGAAATGGCGGAAGGAGCAAAGACCACTGCTCTTGTGACGGCTACACCAACAGCATCTATACCATCTCCATCAGCAGCACAGCCGAAAGTGGGAAGAAGCCCTGGTACCTAGAAGAGTGTTCGTCTACACTGGCCACAACTTACAGCAGTGGAGAGTCCTATGATAAGAAAATAGTAAGTGATATCTGCACATCTGTCATTATTTCCACATCTTTAACCAGGAATTTGTATGTATAAGTAATATCCAGAAAGAGTAGATCGTATTGACTAATTACTCGATGCAAATATTTATAAATTTCAGCGTCCAGTTACCAATTCATTGAACGTCCATACTGTTAAATTCCAGCAGTTAGTTTGCTCTTCAACATTATTAATCTTTAGTTTTGTTGACCACAAATTAATGGCTTGTTTGTGAGTTCACTCTGTGAATTTCTGCGGAGACTAGAATTGAGCTCTGATTCTCCTCACAGTGCCCTGTCTGCCTTTGAAACTTAGGTTCAGTGTTTTAACTCACAAATCCAGGGAATTCAGTGTAAAAGAAGAAAACTGTGTAAAGAAAAGCTCATCTCCATATTATCTGTACTTACTGAAAGTAAACTGAACGTATTCAAGAGGTGCTTTTCTAAGACTGTAGCACAGAGTTTACCTGAAGAAGCCTCACAGAAGTCCTGTGACATCTGCATCTTAATGTGCCCCAGGCTTTCTGCAAATAAGAAAATGATGAACGGGAGCCAGAGAGACGGCACAACAGGTTTGGTGCTTGCCTTGCATATAGCTCGCCCAAGTTAGATCCTTGGCATCCCTTATGAACCACAAATTCCTCCAGGAGTGACCCCTGAGCACAGAGCCCTGAGTACCACCAGGAGTGTCCCCAAAAGCAAACTAAATTACATTTTTTAAATGATAACAGGGTTGTGCACACTGCTTTGACCTACAGGTCTCAGAAAATGTCTGACTTTAGGGGTATCCAGCTCTGGAGTGCTGATCCTAAAAGCTTTCAAATACCTTAGCACATTGCTTTGGATCTGATCATGTTTTTATAAGTTGTCCAAGAACTGAGCTTTCTAAAATGGAATTGAGTGCTTTGCCAGATATTTTTTTAGATATAGCTCAGACTCTGCTTTCAGGTTTTGTTGATTCACACAGGCTTAGATCATCCTGCTGGTATGGTCTCTGATTTTCTCGAAGAGGTGGGACCACAAAGCCAAAACACCACTTCCTTCATATGATCCTTTCTCCACGTCCACCTGGCTCCTCTTGACTCCTAGTTAGGAGTGATTTTCAGGTTTGATTTCTAGCTACTTTTCTTAGTTTGTTTACTTGGTTTGCATTTCCTTAGTTTGTTTGCATTTTGCAGATGATCCTTGCTTAGCCACTGAGCAGTCTCATCTCTGTAGCAGCTGCCAGTCCATACTCGTGTTCCATCTGCTCCTTCTTTCCCTAATTCCTCCACATCAACTGACATCATGTGTACACATGAAACCTCGTTTAACCATGTCTATCATTTGTGCATAAACAAAACTCAGCAAGCCAAAGTGAAGTAGACGTGGAACCGTTCGCTGATGCGAGACAGGTCTTAAGAGCAGAGATCCGGGCATTAGCTGTACTTTTTCCTCATTGCTGCTTCTGAGCAAAATTTTCTGACTCACTTTATCTATCTGACTTATGTTCATTTCCACTTTTTGTCTCACCCTCTCTCTTCATTTCATAGCCACATGCGTAGCTGTTTCCAGTTGTAATCTCTAGCAGTAGACAGACTGTTTGGGGCTAAGGAAGGCCCTTCTTGGATTTACTCCATGACAAGGAGGAGACCAGAGCATCAGCCTTGCTGGTCCTGCTGCAGATAAGATGCTTCTGAGGTGAGGCCGTGGAGTATTGACTGGCACATGAGCCACTCAGCACGGAGTTGGCACAGTCTCTCCCTCCGTCAGCCTTCCCATCAGCATTCAGGGAGAAAAGGCTGCTCAGTTTTCCAGCTCTTATAAACAGAGACATTTCTTATACCTCCGTCTTCCCACTCTGTAAATGATTATATGATCTTTTCCACCCACCCGAGCAAGAGAGGCACTTTGACCATGAAATGTTAAGAGTTTGAACAGGATTAAATTTGGCAGCAACATCAGCCTTTATGGTCCATCTGACCCCTACTCCCTCTCCATGTCAGAATAACAAACAGTCCTGAATGGCTTCTGGGGCCAAATGCCTCTGCTCCTCAGAGATTCCCACATCCTGTTGGTGACAGCTGGGACTAAGTACCAGAATGACAGTTGTCTCCCTTTGAACCAGAGTTCTCTTCCCGAGGGTGTTTCCTCTTGTCAGGTGCAGCTTCTCCAACAGCGAGCAGTCTTCATTCCTCGTTCGTAGAACACCTTTGTGCTGTGAGTGAGGCTGGAGGCTGACCAGATTGTGGACTGAGAGAAACGAAAGAGTTCTTTGCTTCTGAGAAAATGTTTCTGTGAAATAAAATTTATTTGTTCTTCACTGAATCATTTTGTGAGACTCAGACAGGAAAACCCTGCTGTGGATTTCAGAACAGCCAGGTCTCTGTCACTTGGTTGCTTGCTGTGACTTAATCCAGGTGTGGCCCTTGGGTTTCCATTCATGCTTTAGTAGATCAGGATCAGTGATAGCTGTGTCACTTGTTATCGCAAATGAAACCTACAAAATGGCAACAGTCCCACTGTAGAAGCACTACAAGAAGCTAAATAGAAATTGGGTGCAATGTCATCATTGTTATAAAGCAGAATTATAAAATCATCTTTAATTATTTCATATGCATCTTGTTCCCTGTTGGAGATGTAATATATAGCTACCTGAACATGTCTAGGTCTAATGTTTTTAACCCTGCTAATACCCATCTTAATCTTGCACCCTTCACACCAAATGCATAGTATCTTCTAGACCTGTATTTTATTTTTTGGCTTTTTTGGGTCACAGCTGGTGATGTTCAGGGGTTACTCTTGGCTCTGCACTTAGGAATTACTCCTGGCAGTGCTTGGGAGACCATATGGGATGCAGGGATTGAACCCAGGTCAGCTGTTTGGAAGGTAAATGCCCTATCTGCTATATTACTGCTCTGGCCAATAGACCAGTATTTCTTAGACTTTGTCTGACTCTTAACCCATTTCCACCTGGTTTCATCCCTGTGCCACCCCCTACCCACCTCCTACTGGTTGGTCCCCTAGTCTCACCCCATGACCCATTCATGGGATTTGCACCTGTAGCCCTCTGGGAGTATTATAGGGTCCACATATGGCTCTGTGCCCCTCCCCAGTTGAGAAATGCTGCTCTAAGCCTTAGGTGGAACAAAAGCCTGCCCCCTGCCTTACAGATGAGAGAAATGAAGCTGCAAAAGAGAGACTCATGGGGTGAGCGGTAGAGCCTGGATCCCGTCAACATCAGATGGGCCCCCAAGTCCATCTTGAAGTCTTTGCATTCAAGCTTCAGATATGATACAGATATTTTCAGACGTGATTTAGATATTTTCGAGGACACCATGTAGAACCTGAAAAATGGTGTTTTCTTGCCCATTTTGGCTTCTTTTCCAAGTGGCTTAAAAGTGGGGACTAGAGGGGCTGGAGCAATAGCACAGTGGGTAGGGCGTTTGCCTTGCACGCGGCCGACCCGGGTTCGATTCCCAGCATCCCTTATGGTCCCCTGAGCACCACCAGGTATGATTCCTGAGCGCAAAGTTAAGAGTAACCCCTGTGCATTTCCAGGTGTGACTCAAAAAGCCAAAAAAAAATGGGGACTAGAGCAATAGTACAGCATGTAAGGTGCTGGATAACTGGGATACTAGCCAGTTGCCCCTTCACGTCTCACACTGGATACAAACTACTTGAAGTTTCTTCCCAGAGCCTGAACTTAATACATCTTGAATATTCTTGTCTAAATGACTCCAAAACATTAGGAAGGATGGAAACTTCACATTGTTTGTAGAGGAGAAGGGTGGGAGTTGTTTGGGGGCTGGTATCTGCTCCTTTAAAGAGAAATTTCTACTTGTAGGTTGGGGAAAGGCACAGATTATTGACTGTTTTGAACATAAAAAATTGCCTGCAGCAACAAGATGATGTTGTATGTTTAACCTCTCTTATTGTTAAAGATTCTATCTATAAACCTTCATTATCACTGAAACGGTCTCCCAAGTTCTATTTCAGAACTAAACCGCACTTCTCCTCTGCCTGGCTCCCCTCATTAAATTATCTCTCTCTGGTGGAATGAGTTCAGCCTTTGTTTTATTTTTCCTGTAGTAATTTGTCTCAATGGAATATAGGCCCCCACCTTCCTCCTCCTGGTACAGTCCTATGAGCTATAATTTGGAGATTCTGCTCTGCTGCTCTCCTGATAGCATTTTATTTATTTGTGTTCAAAACAGGCTCGCTGTTTGGCCCAGCTCATATCACTCCTGAGCTAGCAATTCCTTACCCAGGGACTCTCATTCCTCTGATGTTCCCAAGAAGCTCCATGGCTTCTACTCAGGAACTTTCAGCTCGCTCTTCTCCCTCCCCTCACTGGCCCTTTGATGGTCCACGGGCATTCCCTCTGCAGTGGGGTTGCCCTCACTCAGTTCTCTTCATCTTTGTTTTTCACCAGTAAGAGGAGAGCAAATCCAGATGTGTTTGGTTGCTTGGGATGTTTGATACCGATTCTCCTGACAGTATTTCAAAGAGCAAAGGAGAGTTGGTTTCTGGAAGGTTGTAATTTGGATTTCAGCCTGACATGAGACTCAGACAGTCTTTCTAGCATGGACTGGGCTGGACTCAAGGCCAACTCTGTCATCCCTCGCAGTGGAGGCCTGGGACTACTCACACACCAGTGAGCGCCCTCAGCTAACTCAGCCTGTTCTTTTGCTGCATTTTAGGGTGGGATACTTTACCATGTACCAGCTCTTCCGTAACTGCATGTTCTTGGATAGGTTAGAATTAGAATATCTAAGCATCCCCAGCCTCAGTTAACCAATAAAACAACTTCTTTGCTCAATTTCTGTGGGTTTCAGTATAACTTGTGTGAGCCCCCCCCCCCCCACCACACACACACACACACACACACACACACACGCTCCTCTTTGCTTCAGCCTTGCAACTTACAGGTGGTGGTGTTTGGGGAGCTATGCAGCTGGTGTCAGCAATGGAAATGATGAGACTAGAAATAGCTCTACTCTAGCTCCTAAGTTG